CGCCACTGAATCTTCCCTTGCTTCTTAGCGGGGGAGCGGTGCCGACTAGTTGATGGGATGTCGCTCCGTACTGACGACGCGCTCGGCGCTGAGTCGGGTCGGTGCTGGGGCCAATGCCGACTCCATTAGTAAGGCCCGGAGACGGATATCCCTTGCACGTTTCATTCTCAGTTTGAACGATCTGCAAATTTTACAACGCTCACTTATGTGAGTCTCACCCAGACAGTGAAGACACTGAGTGTGTGGATTGCTCCTGGGCATAGAACTGCGACAGGAGTCGCACGACTTGAAGCCTGGGGCAGGGGCATGCCCCGAGCAAGGCAACTAACTACAGAATCAAGCTACGAAGAAGAGTTATACTACTAAGGCTAGAAGTGCTACAGCCGAGCTAGAGCACAAAGTTCCGACTACCTTCACTGGCAACAAGAAGGAATGGAGGGTGGGGGGAGTGTGCAGCTCCCCTTATAGCGCAATATAGAGGCGCTACTCCAGGGGTCGCAGCGGTGCTCCCCCCACTACGGATACTGCTAAGGGGAAAACTTCCAGCACCGGTGCATGTGGCAAGCACGCACACCTACTGTGGAATACACAGGAGCAATCACTCGAAGAAGAACTAGCCTATTACATGCCACATGCAGAGAATAGGAGAGACCGAGGTGCACCACTGCTTGATACCCCTGCAATGGCAGGGAAATGATTAAGTGAGATACATCTAGATAGTCTTGGCAAGTAAGCCGCACCCACACGCTATAGAGGGAATTTAACCCAGTTCAAAGTCACTGCCAATCTGACCTGGGGGGAAATTCCTTCTCAACCCCACACATAGCGATCACTTGGAAGCTGAGCATGAGAGCATGAACCAGCCAGCCAAGCACCTGAGAGAATGCTCAATGCTGCCTGTGCCTATGTCACCAGTTTGACTAGGTCTCCTTCCCAACGCTCTGTGTGGTAGCAGAAATCCCAGGGTGCATTGCTCCACTTGGTGCTGGTGCCACTCAGTTTGCATTCTATCTCTTGCTGAGGCAGTTTGGGATGGCTGCTTAGATTTTCCCAGAATGCACTTAGGCAACATGGGAGATGAAGATACAACAAACTCCATGGACACCTGTTTGTCTGAGGAAAAAAACTGCAGTTGGGATATTTTCCATGACTGGGTCAGATGAGAGTGTCACAATATGGCTACAAAACCTCAGCTGTACTTGTAGCCTAGATGGTCATTATGCACCATGTTGGGGTTGTGCAGTGTGGGAGAAACAGGTAAAGCATGTATGTGTTCTGAAGGTGGTCTTCCTGTCATCTCTAAACAAGCAATCCTTTCTGAACAATATTAACTAGGGCTGCCAAGCGATTAAAAAAATTAATCGTGATTAATCGTGCTGTTAAACAATAATAGAATTCCCATTATTTAAATATTTTGTATGTTTTCCACATTTTCAAATATATTGATTTCAATTTCAGCACAGAATACAAAATGCACAGTGCTCACTTTATATTTATTTTTATTATAAATATTTGCACTGTAAAAACAAAAGAAATAGTACTTTTCAGTTCACTTCATACAAGTACTGTAGTGCAAATCTCTATCATGAAAGTTGACCTTGCAAATGTAGAACTATGCACACACAAAAACTGCATTCAAAAACAAAACAATGTAAAACTTTAGAGCCTACAAGTCCACTCAGTCCTACTTCTTGTTCAGGCACTCGCTCAGACAAATAATTTTGTTTACATGTGCTGAAGATAATGCTGCCTGCTTCTTGTTTACAATGTCACCTGAAAGTGAGAACGGGCATTTGCATGGCACTATGGTAGCCGGTGTTTCAAGATATTTATGTGCCAGATGCGCTAAAGATTCATATGTCCTTTCATGTTTCAACCACCATTCCAGAGGACATGCATCCATGCTGATGACGGGTTCTGCTTGATATCAATCCAAAGCAGTGCAGACTGACACATGTTCATTTTCATCATCTGAGTCAGATGCCACCAGCAGAAGGTTGATTTTCTTTTTTGGTGTAGTTTCTGCATTGGAGTGTTGCTCTTTTAAGACGTCTGAAAGCATGCTCCACACCTTGTCCCTCTCAGATTTTGGAAGGCACTTCAGATTCTTAACCCTTGGGTCGAGTGCTGTAGCTATCTTTAGAAATCTCACATTGGTACCTTCTTTGCATTTTGTCAAATCTGCAGAGAAAGTGTTCTTAAAATGAACAACATGCTGGGTCATCATCTGAGACTACTATAATTTGCAATATATGGCAGAATGCGGGTAAAGCACAGAGCAGGAGACATACAACTCTCCCCAAAGGAGTTCAGTCACAAATTTAATTAACACATTTTTTTTAAATGAACGTTGTCAACATGGAAGCGTGTCCTCTGGAACGGTGGCCAAAGCATGAAGGGGCATATGAATGTTCAGCGTAACTAGAATGTAAATACCTTGCAATGCAGGCTACAAAAGTGCTATGTGAATGCCTGTTCTCACTTTCAGGTGACATTATAAATATGAAGCAGGCAGCATTATCTCCTGTAAAGGTTAACAAACTTGTTTGTCTTAGCAATTGGCTGAACAAGAAGTAGAACTGAGTGGACTTGTAGGCTCTAAAGTTTTACATTGTTTTGTTTTTGAGTGCAGTTATGTAACAAACAAACAAAATCTACATTTATAAGTTGCACTTTCACAATAAAGAGATTGCACTACAGTACTTCTATGAGGTGAATTGGAAAATACGATTTATCTTGTTTATCATTTTTACAGTGCAAATATTTGTAATCAAAAATAATAATATAGTGTGAGCACTGTACACTTTATATTCTCTGTTATAATTGAAATCAATATATTTAACAATGTAGAAAACATCCAAAATATTTAATAAACTTCAACTAGTATTCCATTAACAGTGTAATTAAAACTGCAATTAATCACAATATTTTAATCACGATTAATTTTTTTAGTTAATTGCATGAGTTAACTGCAATTATATTAACTAAATTTTAATATTCTAAAATTTTAATACAGTATTAACTAAACAGGAAAGATATTAATTCCAGTTTCCATTTACACCCACCTGTCATCAACAGATGATATTCAGTACTTTTATACACACCTGCATGTGCATCCTAATCATCAGAGCCACAAGTCAGTAGAACAGCAGAATTTGGTTCTAATTGTCCTCTTTCACACTTGTGTTTTGAAGTTAAGCATTTTTACAAAGGAAATTCACAGCTAAATTTGAGTTACTTACAAAAGCGAAGATGCAAGTTTAATATAGTACAAATCAGGCATTTCTTTTGCCAAAGTGTAGTGCTCTAGGATAGTGAGTTATATATACATATGAGACTGGTTTATAGGCCATCTACTCTTCATGCTTTGGTATATTTGTCTTGGAAGAAGTATTGTTGACTAACAACATTTTATAATAATATGGTTATATAAATTTAATCTTACGAGTAAACCAACAATTGTATGCACCTACAAAGGAAGGCTTCTTACCTAGTGGCTGTTTCTGATTCTTTGCCTGACACAGAACAAAACAATATTTCCCCCTGAAATTATATAACCATGACAAAGCTTAAAATAGTGCTAAGAATTAACTTAAAAGGACAGATCCCCAGCTGATGTACATTGATTTTAATGCAGTTGTGACAATGGAGTTGTGACAATATGCACCAGCTGAGGAGCTGTGCCAAAGTATATAATAAATGACTCCCCATGTCAATTTCATTTTTCGTGGGTTATCGTAAATTGACTTTTTTTTTTCTGATTTATGATCCAAAGATTTCAAACAACTATTGTTTTAAAGAAATAAATCGAGAAACATTTCACAGGCGCTACTCTCGTGTTTCAAACATGGTCAGTTTTAACAACACTTGGTAATGCAGTTAATGGTTTGTGGGCTGTGGGAAATGTAGCTAACAACTCCAAGCAGCCGTCACCAAGGTTACTGGTAAAGCTTTTCTGAAGACAAAAAGCACGTGAGACTGATTCGCTGGTGACAATATTTAAGTGGCCAGCTGAGCTCTAGGTGGAGCCAGGGAGCGTTTAGTGCTTTCAGCACGTTCAGAAGTACTCCCAGGACACAGACTAATTTACAATCGCAATGAATTCACTCTTGCGGAGGGTAATGGTGGGATGATCGCGTCCCTGGGGAAGCCTAGAGACGCTGTGCTGTACTTTTGGCCGCCTCCCATCCCAGGGGGCGGGTGATTACATGGTAGCATCAGTGCAACACCCTCTGCGAAGCATCAGCCAGGGAACAGCAGAGCGCGCTTCGTGGATCTAAGGGTCGGGTTGGTGTGTGTTGGTTGGGGGGGGGATGTCACGCCCCCCCAACACACACACACACACACACACACACACACACACACACACACACACACACAGAGCTGCAGCCA